TGTAAGTCCTCTCCTCATTGCTTACAAAAAAAGAAGGAAACATTCTAAGCTTGGGTTGATAGAAAAACTCCACCTGCTGACAGCTACCATTCATCTCGGCGCCGATTATCAGTATTCACCAAGACCTTGTATTCACTGCATGCCGACGGTCGCGTGCTTAGAACGAGTTTTTTTCCCACGTGATTTCATACAATCTCAACTGTTCTTGACAAACAACAATGTTTACTCAGGCAAGCGGGCATATGTGAAGCTTATAATATTTTGTATTGATTGTGGCACACGTGGCAAGTTGCATAGGCTTTTTTACAATCCGTGAAATAGAATGCTCCTGGGTTACCTTGGTCTCTAATGCATGTAGCACACAATAGGACACGAACTGAATTGCAGTGGGAAACGAACATAATGATGATAAACAAGCGTGTAGTCACGCGAAAACTGAGGGCATTGCACATATAGAGAAGATAAGCTTTGTTTCACTAAATATATTACCAGTAAAGTATTTGGTTTTACCCTGCGAGCGAAGCGGGACATACAAGTGCGAGCATACTGCCCTGAACTATACTTCCAGTGAGCAAACGCACCATTCAAAGCATCGAGTTCGTTCATACAGCTCTTGGTACGCTCAAACCTTTAAAAACACAATTATAATCAATTCTATTATTTTAAATATTTTTATTAAGTGCACCTATGTGTTTTTTTGTTTTTGTTTTTTTGTCTGTTGCGTTCACGTGGCATTTTCTTAGATATATAATATTTTTCCAGAAGTCCGACACTTATAGCCTGGTTAATCATAAGTAAGGGCCCAATAATCAAAGATGTAGACAAAAAAAAACAAACAAAGAACGCGAACAAGCGAACACACATTAAAAATGCAGTGCTACAGCACATTCAAAACTAGTCGTTAGTTTTTTAGAGAGAAGCAGTTTCGTAGGGCGACATTGTTACCCGTTGAAGATTATAAAAAGTGCTGTACAACTGTTAGCTCGGTGTCTTTAACGTGCATTACGCAGTATATGTGGTACACGATCGCACGACGGTAGGACGCAGATGGGCGACTGAACCCAGGGTCCCCGCTAAAGCCCCTTGATAAAGGCGTTTTTTACAAGTACCGCCAACCATTGTTAGGGAAACGCACAAGAGACGTGCCACGAGCGGGTGCTCCGCTGCCATTCGCTTTCAAGGGCCAGTCATTTTAGTGCTGCGCCTCTATTTGCCTCCAAGGGCCACTTGAGACACGGGCCTCGTGCACTGGCACCTTTGAGGTTATTTGAAAGACCAACGCAAATACATCGAGGGGATTTAGTCCCTACACGTTCCGCCGACGTTGGGTTCCGAAGCGTGAGCCCCGTGCTTTGAACGGAGCTCGCGCTAGAGCATTTCTCCACGTGCTCTGATCTGCGGTGCCACACCGCACTCGGCCAACGGTCCCCCGCCGCACTTGGTTTAGCCTGTGAGCTAAACCAAATGAGCTATGCTTAGAATATCGGCACTTTTCCCCCAAAATTATTGTGGGTGCCGCCATCTTGGTGGTTAGTAACCAATCAAACGCAACCGCCGATCGTCATGATTCAAAAGTTTCGGTGTCAGGCAGCTCGCGTAATATTGCTTTGCTTTGTCACGAACTGTTTAAACATTTGTGGAGGACGGAAAGGCGTTTCCTGTGATTTCAAAAGCTTCAGATAACTGACAACCATTATTTTAAGCACCAAGATGTCTATAAAGCGTAACTTACTTAGTTGTTCTAGTTTAGCCCGACCGCATAGGCATAGAAAGAAAACAAACAGCTTGACCTTGCGCTCTTGGCGCTGCTTCAGTGACTTTATCAGCCCGTAGCGTTGGCTGCGTTCCGAACTAAGGTAAAGCAAAGCAAATATTCAGATCTTAGGGTTTCACAAGACAAACCAACAAAAATCACTTAACACACCCCAATAAAAAAAATTTGCGGGTTTATTTTGACGAATTGGAGATCTTCTGACGTGCAACCGAAATCTCTGATTGTCCTCCGTCGGATTGCGGGCACCTCGGCCGATATTTAAACCCAACAAATATAGATTTATGGGCCAGCGCGTTGGGCTCAGAGACACTGAGACGATTTAATGCTTTGTGTTTTGTTTTGATATCATTGCCACTTAAGAGCCACGGAGGTGGTTTTTAAAACAAAATATAGTCAAACCATTCCGACAAGCATAGTTTGATTGCGAAAATGGTGTTTCCATGTGATAAACACGTTACAATATTTTTGCATACCTGGCGGAATCTGAAATGACAGAATGCATTTAATGGCGCCCATTTCATTTGGATCGCGTCGGGAATGCGTACCGACGCACAGTAGAACGCGCGCAAAAGTATCTGTGGTGCACCCGCAGCCTCGCGCTTGTGTTTCTGACATCTCTGGCTCGCTCAATGCGGGCATCCAGGCATCTGACACCGTTATATCTGGCGATTATTCTGTATTTCACGTGGCGTTCCAAGCGGCAAACGACGGAAGATGCACATCAAGCTGTTCTTGAACACGTGTCGCCATCTGAAATTTATATTAAGAAACTACAATTTGCCGTAACTGAATGGGAGAAGTTTGAGGTCATAACATTTTAACGTGTCATATGTCAATATGGAAGTTCTGGTAAATGTAATATTGACGGATGCTTCATAATTTAATCTCTCGTTATTTTGATTAGTTAACGTGATTCCGTTTTTATAGCACCTTAAAATGATGCCATTTTAAACTTTATTTTTTATTTTAAAATATAAACTATCTGCACAGCTCGTTGCTTAGTTTTTTAATTTATTACATGCAACCAAACTCTCATGTAAATTATCGTGGACAATGAGACGCTATAACTCGAGAAATAATTTTTTCAACATTAGAGACTGCGGTCTATTAAAAGATAATTTATTAACTGACAACTAAAAGTAATCGTAATTTTGAGACATTAAACGATTGTTGAAAAACAGCTCTTTAATTTGACATTAACTTTATAATTGTAAGTTACATAGAACGAAAGTTATAAGCCGTCAAAAAAGCACTAAAACGTCCTGCACGGTGGGGTTGCACCTTAAAGGAATTATGAAATAACTTTTCAGTTTCTTGCTCCTTTAACTTCCCTACTCAACTCAAAAGCGAAATGAAAAACCACGCGGTCGTGAAGTGCATTGGCACCGGTACGAGGACTCCAAGCTTCCGCCGTCCTTCTCAAGCACACCATGGAACTTGTCATTCGCAAGCGATGACAAGAGCCGTCAGGGGACTCGTTGGCCACGAACACAAATTTTTAAACTATGCGTCGACGGATTTATTATGCACGTGCGCATACGTCCATGTGACTCACTGCTCGTGTCCAACGCGGCTGTTTCGCTCAGCTGGGAGAACTTCTGTTTCCGGTAGAAAGGCATACTTTAGACAACGATATTAGATTAGCTGTAATATAATAATGTCGAATTTAGGTCACGGTCACATAATTTCACATGTTGGTAGCCGAGTCCGGTCGAGTCAAGGAGAAAATCAGATGTGAGTTTTCATCTTTTTTGCGTGTGTCTGTGTGTGTGTGTGTGCAAACAAAACGAATACAAATTCCTTCTCCGGGTTCTATGAACATTGAAGATTAAGTGAGATCTTCATTTGGAAAAAAGTAAAAAAAAAATCATTTATGGTCCCTAGCTTTAAGCCGGTGTCACACTGCTTATACATTATACAAAAGAGAGTCTTCCAACACGAGTCACCGCAATATCCGTGGTTCGAATGCCTCCTTCCAAGTTCTGTCCTTGAACTCATCGTCAAGCGGCATTCGAAGCAACCCACTGAACGCAAAGATGGCTACAAGACGGCTAAAAGACGTCTTGGCAAGATGTACAATACGTCTTGTAGACATCCTGGCAAGACGTTATATAGCCCAAGACGTCTTGAAACATCTTGTAGCCGTCTTCTAGTCGGGCTAACGCCTCGTCTTTCTTGGGCTACAAGACGTCTTGCAAGATGTCTTGAAGAACTCTTGAAGACGACTACAGGACCTCTAGATAGGTCTATTTAACATCTTAAAAAGGGATATAAGATGTATTTTAGCCATCTTTTTCTTAGCTCATGCACCATTATTTTGGCTTACAAAACAAAATGTCTTAAAATTTGTCTTGGCAAGGTCTACGAGACGTTTTGTAGACATCCTGGCAAGACGTTATATAGCTTAAGACGTCTTGAAACGTCTTGTAGCCGTCTTCTAGTCGGGATAATGCCCAGTCTTTCTTGGGCTACAAGACGTCTTGCAAGATGTCTTGAAGAACTCTTGAAAACGACTACAGAACCTCTAGATAAGTCTCTTAAACATCTTAAAAAGGCATATAAGATGTCTTTTAGCCATCTTTTTCCCAGCTCATGCACCATCATTCTGGCCTACACAAAAAAATGTCTTAAAATTTGTCTTGGCAAGGTCTACAAGACGTTTTGTGGACATCTTGGCAAGATATTAATAGCCCGGACGTCTTGAAACGTCCTGTAGCCGTCTTCTAGCCGGCATAACGCCCAGTCCTTGGGCTGCAAGATGTCTTGCAAGATCTACCTTAGACGACTTGAAAACTATTACAGGACACCCAGTTACGGCCTGGATATTTTAATCCCAAAAAGCCATAAGGCTTTGAATAGCTAAACTCCTTATATAGTGGCAAGGACGAGTACTGAAGCCGATTTGTACTGCAGCGACTAACTATGTGAGGGGGCTAACGTCAAGATACAACCATGATTTACCATGGCAATCAAAAATTGCAACACTAATTAGTTGCCTTAGCGGCTTTCAGTCTCTTGAGTCAAGTCTTTGCAATATAGTCAAGAGCTGTTGCAAAAATAGGCCTTTGCACCAAGCTGGTGTGAATAAGATGACGTGGTTAACATAGCAAAGCATAGCTATTGCATGTCTGTAAGTACACCACATATTGAACGCCTGTCAATCGCAAGCTCTCAAGTGACACAGCCATAGCTGCGCACCAGTAAGCAAATGATTTTTCTCCTGTTCAAGAACTGTAAAAACATGTTTATTAGTAAAATAGGTACGTAAATATAATTGAAGCTTTCAATGCACTGCTTATTAGTTTTAAAACAATAAGAAATGAAATAATGGCTTGCAATCCAGATGACTTGAGGAAGTTTCCGGCTGACTCATGGAAGTTTCTTAACTCTCAGACTCGTGGAAGCTTCCTGCAATGAAACGAAAAGTAAATTTTTATGAGTTTAATATTCCCTATTGTTCCCAGTTTTATAAAGGTATCAAGTGTCTAAGCATGCATTATATAATGTACCCATAATGTGCCCATTGTAAATACCCCATGTTTTGCAGCCTATCAGGAATTTTCAAGATTTTTCGGATATAAAGCTACTTTCAGAAACAAATTTTGTATGACACTGCTAGAAGTTTCCTGCGAAATTTCAAAGCAGCCCAAAAATGTCTGAACTTTGCTATAGAAGAGAAGTCCAGAAAACCACTTTTTAAGATTTGAGAATGATTCTGCTAGCCAAAGTACACCACGCCAAAGTACACCACAAGACCAACATGAACTACTTTGTTTTTTGCAAAACAAGGTAAAAAAACAAGGAGCAATCTACAAAGCAATTATTTGCAATAGTATGCCAAGAAAGTGACTCTATGATGTCTAAATGCAAATGCCGACCAATTTTCCGGACTCGAAGGCAACCCGAAAAAGCAGTCTAAAAAGCTATTTTAAAGGCCGACGTTCAGACTCGAGATTCTGCAAGGCAGAAGACCCTCCTCTCCACGCCTTCGGGCGAGGGAAGCGAAGGATGGAAAGAAGGGACCAAAAGGGGCGGGCGTGGGTGGAAAGGGTAGGAGGGAGAGGAGGAAGCGGGCGAAAAGTGGAAAGCGCGAACTGGTCGTCGGTCTTTAACTTAAATGAAAAAATTCCATGTAACCTCTGCATGGTATTGCCCACTTTCCACTTGTTCGATGCCAATATTAAGTTCTCATGCAAATTCCACTTCATACTGGTCGCTTTCCACATGTTTGGACGATCGCAGTGCCAAGCGTTGCTGAGGCCATTGCTGCCGCATACAGTAAAGATAAAGCTGGTATGATTTGGAGGCTACATTCAGCTGACCAAGCTCGCTTTACTGTTGCGCCTATCTGCCAAATATACTCGCTCGAAGAACACGGGAAGAATGGCGGACAGTCGTTCTTCTCTTGGTCGCGGTAGGGAAATGCAAACACGAGAAGATACAGAAGTATGGCCCCCAGATGGCGGCTATGTTGGATATAGTGGAACTGGAATATCTGACCGTAACCTAATCCAGCTTTTTCATGCACAAGACGGAGATTCGAGGCTACGAGACCAAACAACCAAAATGCTTGCAATGGAGAAAGGAGTAGTGGGATAAGGCGCCGACACGGAAAAATCCCGGATGTACGCGGTGGCGCTGCAATCGTATGGACAAGAGGAACCGACCGGCTCTGAGCGTTCCGAAGGCCTTCGGCGAGTGGCTTTGTCTTGCGGTTTGGCCGTTTCGCGGTATGGCAGCGCGAAGTGGGTCCCATTCTGAACTGATCTTTATCCCGTGTTCGCTGTCGTTTGTGGCCAATGAAGTGTCATGCCGAATTAGTGTTTAATCGCGCAGCAAATGCAATGAAAGCCGCTTTGGCTGCCCGCTGCATACAGCCTATCCAGAACATGCTTTAGTGGCGCCCTCTCGCGCCGTCGACACGGAGTGCGGCGGCCGTGAGCGCTCGATGAGCTCACTATCCCTCCTCTAGTTCACGGCCACTCAAGCCAGGACCTACGACGTCATGAAGGAGGTTATTTTTTGCTTGTTTTTGTAATTCTAAATTGCCTATAACTTTTAAAATAAAGCGAATTTCGCGAAAAGAAAAGGTTCACTAAGTTATTACGTTCAGTGCGCTCAAGTTCCGTGCAAAATAAAAACCAGTAAAAAGCCCTTGCAGGGCCCCTTTAAGTACCATACCTTTTTGTGGCGCTATTTACGCGTGCTCGGCAGTTCTTCAGCCAACCCTTGGCTCCTGCTTCAATTTCTTCAAGCGTTGCACCACTCAGGCCTTTTATCAGTCTGACTGCTTCTGTAAATGGGGAAAATATGAAAATCATAACCAAGTGCGTTATCCTGGTGCAATGATCACGGGAGATATGAATGCCTACCACCACTACAAATAGACATGGGTGAATATATGAGTGTTCTGACCAGATTAAATGATATGTCACCCTTTTGTTAATGACTACCGACATATGCTGTGCAGATTAATTTTGCCCGGCCTGCCCCATGCACACTGCATGACACTGCTAGTGCGAACACGAAATTAGTACTTTTTCATTGCATTTTGCTCATACAGAATATCGATGCGCCCCAAATAGTACCTTAAGCTGGAGCTCAAAATTAGCACTTTCCCCCACACTAGCAATTCTGATGGCAGGTATCAGTTACATAATTGAAACAAAGAAAGAGACAGCCCATTGCTTGTCCGTGCTAACTGTGAAGTGCAGTGCACAACATCAGAATTTGCTTGAATGTGCCTACCGAATTACTTGTTTCAAATTCCCTGACCGGTGTTTCTCTCGAAGGAGTGCTTCTACGACCGAAGAACTCTGACCTGCTATTGGTCCTATGCTCGCCATAGTTGCAAAATTATGGAGCCCGAGTGGCTCTTCCCTTTTAATGGATGGTTGCTTAATCTGCCTAGTGACATTTCTGGCAACATTACTCAGTGCAGACACGCTGCTGCACGACAGTTGGGTTTCGTTGCACACCGCCATACCACTTCCATGTGTCATTTTCCCTGATTTAGCTCTTTACTAAATTTTTTTCACTTTTCCATATGGTTCAAAATTCCCTGACAATCCCAGGTTTTCCAGATTAGTTGACACCCTGTATAATACATGAAGACGATTTACAATTTAATACAATTTATTGAAATTTCTTGTCATGTTGCGGTTGGCATGTTTTACAGTGAGGGTTGTTTTAATTATTTAGAGCGGCACATTTCCAGAAATAATAATAATACTTTATTTTGTGCTAGCGTCCAAAAACAGCTGCAAAGGCCTTGTTATTGGTACACTATAAACAAAAAAATTAGCTTCACACTGAGAAACAAACGAACACAAAACACAGCAACATGAACAAAAGTAATCGTCACCTTTAAAACGCAGCTAAGTGAGCAAACAAAATACAGAAACATCAGAGGTCTGTAAAATGAGTATATGGCATGCTAAAAGCGAAACAAAGCCCAGCACTAAAAAACAAACAAAATATATATAAAGGCTACAAAACAAAGTCCAGCACTAAAAAACAAACAAAGTATATATAGAGGTTACAATCTTTTTAGCATTGATAAGAAATTATGTATGTGCATATATGTTCAGATCCGCATCATGAAGTTTATTATACAAGTTCGTAATTCTAGACATGGGTGAGGAATCATATGGGTATTAAGGTAAAATGGTAAAATCACTCTACTACTTCGCGTCGGTACGTGAAAACTCACAGATGATAAGAGTGATTGCTATCAGTCCGGCCAGAAGTTACTTTATGTAAAAACGTACATCACAAATGGTACGTTTTAAGCTGAAATAGTTCATAAGTGATTCATAATTATATTAACAATGTTGAAAGTATCTGTCATAAACTGTTCGCACCAGGCGCTTCAGAACTCGCTTAATTTCGTTGCTCTGACTAGAAGAGATTCAAGTCATGAACGAACCAAGGAACAAAATAAATGGATCAAACATGTAAAGCTAAAAAAATTAGCCCCAGTGTACGAAGAGAAGTACCTACTATCGAAGTGACTTGTTCTTTAAAAGTAAGCCGGCTATCAACAACAACGCCAAGGTAACGCACAGTAGAAACACTCTGTATGACCGTTACACACGGTAGTGTGTATTGAAAACCAACCTGATTGCGCTTTGTGGACAATGAAATAATTTTCGTCTTTTGTGGATTGAAAAACAAATTATTAGATGAGCACTACCTTGACACGCTATTTATATCTTGCTGCAATAATGAACAGTCCCCCAATGTCACGAACTGATGAATATAGCTTGATGTCATCAGAAAACAATAAAATCTTAGCATATTTAACGGAGAAAATATCATTTATGAGAACTAAGAAAAGGAGAGGCCCCAGGTTTGAGCCCTGTGGCCTTTTTGAAGTTGAGGAAAATTGATGGGATAATGTATTCGAAATCCGAACAGAATTCTTGCGTGAAGGTATGACTTAAACCAGGCAAGATATTGTGGACATAGGCCATACAAGCGATGTTTTTTTGACAATAATAGAACATGATTTACAGTGTCGAAAACCTTGGACATATCGAAGTAGATAGAATCCACTTGCCCTTGGTTAAAAGCACAAGGGACGAGTAATTAATGAATTTCAGAGGTTAGTTTTGACTGATCTCCCCTGAAGAAATCCATGCTGGTCATGATTTATCTTTTGGCAGAAATAAAAAGCCGCCCATGAACAATGATTTCAAAAACCTTCGAGAAAGAGCACAAAAGGGAACCGGGTCGGTAGTTATTGACAAGGCAAGCGTCACCTGCTTTAAATATTGGCGCTATAATTACTTCTTTCCATTGCCGCGGAAAAATACCAGCCTTAAAAGATAAGTTAAAAATATGCTGTAAGATAGGAGCCAGAATGTCTCCGCAATCTTTGACTATAAAACACGGAATAGGGTTCATCCAGTCCCAATGAAGAAAAGTACTTTCTCGACAGAAATTCACGGTACAATAAACCAACAACTGGGCATGCTCGATGGCGGAGTTACAGCAACACTTCCTGTTGTGAGTGGTGGCTTGCACAGCCTGATGATGTACTGGGCACTCAGCACAGCTGAGCATATGCACCGTCAGGCTTTGTTGCATACATCCATGCCACTTCCACTGGTCGCTTCATCAGACTGACTCTCTGGCATCTTCCCTGACCTTTCCAGGTACTTAAAATTCCCTGTTTTCCTGGTTGGTAGACACAGTTGTGTTTTCCACTGTTTTGTACCTCCTCTTTTCACCTCGCTACAATGGCAAGATGCAAGGAGAAAGTGAAAAAGAGTGGAAAGCACAAACTGTATGTTGCAAGGTGTCTCTCAACCAGGACAGCCCGGAGTAAAAAGGGCTTGCCACACAGTTCAGGAAAGGACACTCAGAGGGTCAGTTTAGGAGAGGAGGACAATTGGAGCTTTATCTTTGCTGCAGAAAACCAATATCCATAATAATACCATTAGCGTAATATAGAAAAAAAAACTTTAAACTCACTCTGAAGCACACTGAACAACTCCATTGTAGCAAACACACGCTTCCCCTTCTGTCCATAGAGGCTATATTTCTGCCCCTGTGAGTCTTCAAACAACTTTGCAAGGATGCGAGCAGTGGCAGTACGAGGGGTGTTGCCCCCAATACCAGCAAGCTGCCGGGCCTGCAAAAGAACAATGTGGGTTAAGTGTAGGCTTTTGTGTTTTCAGATAAATCCGATAAAGTGTGATAAACATCCGCCGGCACAAAATTTGCCGATTCGGATTCACCTAAAAAACAAATTACGGAACAGCAAGTTGTACAAAACCATCCTGTCTTGAAATGTTCGCTCTCCGGAAACGTTTTTATGTATCTCTTCTTTTTCAGTTTCAACTTTTGCTCCTAAGCATCACACAAGGCCTAACTGGTGATAATAGCGTGAAGGTCATAAAACACACACTAAGAACAGCCCCAGTTATGCTTAATATATGAGATTACACAAGGCCCCTTATCAGCAAATCAAGATAGCCTTCCTACCGCAATGGTCGAACACATCTCACCTACGAAAAGGCTGATTTACTTAAATTGGCAAATGTTGTTTTCTACCTTCGTTTCCTTCACCAAAAACCCTGAAAAACTTGGAATTTGAGTCGCATAAAAAAAGAAAAGCTCCAAAAAACTCTATAATTTGCGGTTAAAAACGAGACATCGAAAAGCACCCTCCGATTTCGTGCAAAAGTAAGCCCCGAAAATGCAGAACCTTAGTTATATAACATATTCCACCTAGATACCATTGATTCCGAAATTTATTCCTTACAATGTTCGGCATATTGAATTCATACTTATACTATCACTATGATACTAAAGCTGAAGTTATTGGTATCTATCTATTCTGAGTAGACAAAACTAAAACACAAAATAGGAGAACGATTACATAAAAAAAACAGGACAGCACAGTCTTTAACAAACAACTCAGTTCTGCTTCATCAAAATAGCTGAAATCCCTGTGCAGATTCTTGTTGAAGTGTGAAACAATCTACAGAGTCTTGTACTATGTAAACGTTCCTACGCAAGTGCTGTGAAACTGATCTGAAAATTTTATGTTCAATCGATTACACTTTCTTCATACTGTGAAAATTGTTAGTGACGCTTAGCAGTTGCATCAGCAGCCATGGTGTTTGAGCAAGCCGCCGCCGTTTAGCTGTGTCGTACGCATGCACAGCACGGCACCGCGCATGCGCCAGCCTCTCCCAGCTGAACAACTTTCATGCCACTGTGCCAGTACTCTACCGCTTCGCGCCACCACTTCTCAACACTACCTTCTCTCCTCCTCAACGCACCAAGCAACAGACGGACGCCAGTGCAAAATTTTTGGTAGTAGGGACTCCAATACTCTGCATTAATCATATTCAGGGTAGATTTTCCAGTGGTTTTATGTTAATACTGAAAACCAGAAACCTTGCGTGTCTTTTATATGAAGCCATAAGCCATGTCCAAGCTGGCAAAGCAAAGCACACTACCACCTAACCAAGTTATCACCTTCAGAGGCAGAAATGCATAGAAAGCAAGGTTAGATGGTGCTTCTGATGCATGGTTGAATCAGATAGCTCATAACATTTGCTGCAGTCCTCTTAAAGGGCAACTCCGGTTACTTTTTGATGTTGAGAAAACGATGCAGTTCTCTTCAGTATCATCTAGAACAAGCACACGTCAAGTATCACGACGTAATACCGCTTAAAAGTTTATGAGATTGGCGAAAAAGCGCATCCAAACGCTGAGTCAAACGTCATCGAGCAGAATAATTGTTTCGTTTGTTTTGTACTAGGTGGCGCCAGTAGCAAAACAGGATCCGTACCGCGCATGCGCCTTTGTGCGCCCGCACTCTCCTCGTTGCTTCATCTGAGCTCAGCGATGGTGCAGGTCGGATTTGCGTGGAACAGACTACACTTGTAACCCGTCGTGCGGGCTGGCGCAGATGTTCGGACCACATGGCCACGTACGAACAGTAGATGACGACACGGAACCAGTATAGGCAGCCGCAATTGAAGTTTCGGTTTCACTTTCGGGTTTACGCTTAATAAGGATTGAGATAAAAATAGTGAACTTTCTGGGAAACAAATGACGTAGAACCGTGTTTTAGTGTTTCCTAAAGTATAATCATTTATTATCCCGATATTTTCAAAACTAACCGGAGTTGTCCTTTAAGGGGGCATTGAAGTCATCTTTGACAGTCTTTTTACAATGATAACTCAATCTGTCATCTTTGACACCGTCTTTTTACGATGACAACTCAATCTGTGCGTTCCAAGCTTTCTAACAAACCCAAAGTTACAATCCTGCACAGCCTATTTCCCAGGAGATCTTTCTTGTGGTCAACGAAGAGTGCTTGTCGTCTAATTGCAGGCGATGGCTTCCCTTGAAGCCATAGAACGGAGTATCCTCAGAATGTGTGCTTATCATGCTCTTTTCAAAACGAGTTATAATAACTTTGTTTAAAACCTGCGTGGGTTTTAGGAACTTCCTTGGTCTAGAGAATGCAGTACACCAGAGAGATGTGTGCTTTTGTATTGCCCTGAGATGAGTAGGCGGTTTTGTATTTCAGAACTTGAAATATGTAATAACTAATATCTTTTGAAGAATAAGATATAAAAAAATGACCTTCAGATATGACTTCAGGGCCCCTTTAAGGTGCAACAAAGTAACACATGCGTTTTCTAGAAACTTGATTTAATCTTACCAGTTGCAGGCAGAACTCCTGGCTTGCTTTCAGCTTTTCCTCAATTTCATCAACATCTGCATCTGTTTTCAATGGTAGTGAAATACAGGCTTCTTCAGCTGGCTCGCAAGGTTCTTCTCTTTCCAACAGCTTTTTGGTTATTGTTTTCAGTTGCTTCTTTACAAAGCGAAGCTCTCTTAGTATAAGACGTGAGAAATCTGAAAGAACAACAAAAACAAAAAGGGCAAACATGTTAGACAACAGATAGAATGGAATGTAGTGTCGTTTCTGTTATCCAAAGGAGGGCACAGGGAGAAGCACCAGCTCGCTCACATAAAGATATAGAAGCTACTGCATGCGCTATAGCATCCACTAGCGCTGCTACTTAAATAGCAATACATCGGTTGCACTGACGTAATTTGGTCCTTTTTTTTGGGGTGGCCGAACTTCCTCGAGCATAGCCTATACTGTACCTATTCTACAAGCAGGTCGTGAGTGAGCAGAAAGGAGTCAGTGCAGCTTGCACCGCATTAACGACACGCTTCTGCCACCAGCGAGGAAGGACATGACGCCACGTACAGTCCACGAATATAAACAGTACATTCAACATTAGGTTAAATATGATCATTAATAACTGCCACTGATAAGAAACAACACATCTGTATTTTGGACGAACCACTACTCTAAATTACTACTTTGGCGGGTGCGACAGCTTGCAAATTTCACGAAGTGCCAGTTTTGGCACTACGTTGCAGGCACCGACATTCGCAATTGGGACCGGTATGATATATATTCGTATCCATGAGGTGACATCTTCGTGCAAGTATTTTTTTTGTAATTTTTTTTTTCGAACTACGAGGTTCGTCAAAAATAGGCACCTGTGAAAATTAAGTTGTTTACAGTATATTTCTCTTTGTAATTGCCACCTAAGCGGCTACCGAAGTAGACAAGATCGGAACATTTGCAATGCGACCTGCTGCTACATGCGCGGTATACACAACAAATGCAGTTGTGGTTGTGAGCACTGTTAGTACCATTGAGTCACAGCTTTGTGAGCCTGATTGTCTGAAGACGAGCATTCCTTCTCTGAGACAGACACTCTGTAGATGTATGTGTGTTAATTGTCTGAAGACGAGCATTCCTACTCTAAGACGGCTCTGTATATGCATGTGTTAACATTGTGCAGCTCCTAAACTTAGCAGTGCTACCGTGTTAAGTGCTGTGCTGGAGGGCTCTCCCAATTCGAACAAGTTCAAACGTGAACAATGCCTTACAACAGGCATTGGCAACGCTTATTGTTTGCGGATTGGGTGATGGTGTAACACACAGGCTGCAGTCCGATGCAGAGTGAGAGGGGACCATTAAGTGCGGGTTTTACTATGGGTTTTTTTGAGAAAAGGTTTCGGCATGCTGTCCTCGTTCCTTACTGGGCTGTGAAATGCTCAGCATGCAGAAAAGCTCTCTTCTGCGAAATACTGTATGCTGTGCATACTTTCATTCTCCAGAGACTCAGTTTCTGTGTTTGAGTGATAAGCGTTGAAAAGGTGTATACTTTAAAATGAAAAAGCTTACCTGGAGAGCTTGATGAGGGTGGGACCATGAAGTTGCCTGCAGCTTCGTAATCGCCTCTTTCACTGGAATGTGAAGCAAAAAGAAAACACTAAAGAGTGTTATCAGGGTGTTTTGACTGCCCGCTTCGCTCGCGGTGGCGCACTGAGCCCGAGCACAACAAATGGTTCAGTACACCACCGTGAGGTACCATGGGAGCAAAATTTGTACCTAGTATATTGTCAGTGTTTCCAAATAAAGCCACAGAGAGCACTTGCAATCTAATGGTAGCACGAAAGAAACAGTACATGTAATAAAAAAGGAAAGGAAAAGGATTTAGTGTTTCGACACCTCCTTGTAATGTGCCGACTAGTGCAATCGATATGACCTAAAAGAGAGGCATCTGCCCCCCCCCCCCCCCCATGTGCATTAATTTCAAACATAGAGCAGGATCAATGTCCAAGATGAAAAATTTTTGCTCTTTTCTGTGTTAAAATTAAATGCTTATTCTATCGGAATAAAAATAATAAAAAGTTAGAAGTGTTAGTTTATACCATGCATAAAATATTCAAGCAACTGCATGGGCGTTGATAATCTGAGTTGCACATGCACAGAAAAAACACCCACAGACCCCTGCTTTCTGCGAAAGTTAGCGATACGATGGTACATGACACCAATTGAGCAGTTGAAAACGCCCTGACAATTGGAAGCACCTTCCAGTATCTACAGCCAAAAATGTCACTGATCATACGTTTCAAGCTGTCATCGATACTCTGTCCTGTTCAGATTAAGCACAGAGCGTACAACTGCCTTATCCAACTGTTGTTCTCCTTTAGCCCCACGCCCCTTTGTAATGCCAGTGGCAATGAATGTATTTGAAATTAATGAAGAAATAAAAAAATGCATAGGCCCTATTGAAATTTGTTTCGTGTTCAACGCCACCTAGTTACTTTAAAGATAACCAAAAATAACAAAGAAAAATAAATAGTATCATTTTGCAAATAGAAATGCTGATTTTGATTTTGATGATGAACTGAGATGTTGAAGACATCTGTTTTGCTTTCTTGGCAAGCAAAGAATGCAAACATCAATTCGTGCTTGATTGCAAGAGAAACACATTTGAAAACGGTCCCCCACATCGCTGCAACTCGAACTGGTTACCAGCAAGAATTTCGCGAAGCAAGCAAAGGTCCTTGTCAACCTGAAATCGTTTCCGAGGCCTACACTGCGACGCCTCTGCAGAAGATGTGGTTGGAAGTGACTGGCGGCAGACATCTTGGATTGAATGACAAACGTAAGCGGTGCCACCCTCCCTCTGCTTAGTAAACATGGCAGCAGAACGGAGCCTGCGCTCCGATTGCCCGTTGCCGGCTAGGCGTTGTGGGCATGCGCAGTTGCCTCCTGGCTCGGGTGGAGTCGGCCATAACAACAAAATCGCTACAAAAGATGTTTAATAAGTCTTTACTAGACATTCCCTAAGTCTCAGAACCTTGTTATCCTCGGGGACGGCTTTTCTTCGCAATGCAGTCAAAGCTACGAGCGACCGTGACCTTACACAACCAGGGCACTGATCGAAGCTACATACGTGCTCTCTTCACTTCCGGTATGCAAAGAAAAGTTGTCCCCAAGTATAGTACCTTCCTCACGGGCATTTGGTCTGGTCGAGGTGAACACTAAAGTGAACAAGTTAATCAAATCCGCAAGTCCTGCACTATCAGTAAGAGGTTCTTTTTAAAATCAGGGGTCTGGAAAATTGTCTCGCTGAACCAATGCTCAATTTCATAAAATATGGACATGTCATACCTGTCCTTAGCTTGTGTGAGTTAAGTCTGCATTTGATTACATTCATAGAATGCTTTCTATGTACAAAATTAACAGACATTGCTCTTTACTTCGCTTCTGCATTACAAAATATACAACATTCTCTTACCTTTGATGCCTGAAAGGTGGTGATGAGGCTCCTCCGATTCCTTCCTCATGGTCAGACTCATCCAATGAGTGTACAGCGTAATTGCTGCTGTTACGACTTTTCTCTAAAAAATATTAGATCCCTTAATTACCACAACAATTAATTAACCTCAAGTTAATTATTGCGCCCTCAGAAGCCAAGAGCAGTAGAGTGTGGGAATGCATAAAAAAGTCACTACAAAATAAGTAACAAATACGCTATCAATTTGACCATTTTGGTCAAATATATTATAGAGACAGTGAGAAACTGTGCTGAGAACTAAAGTTAATCTAACTTGTAGTCCGAGGGCAAAAAAAGCTAAACCGAAATCGTTTATCATAAATACCATCTTCAAAATCAGTGTCCAAATGTCAAGTGCTGTATACACAACACAACAAAGCAAACATACATGTTTTATGTTTTCTTTTGTACATATTTCAATTATTCTGTGGAAATCATCCATTGAACCAAGATATAATCTACTAGAGTAGGTTGCTGAAGGAGCCTCGTCCTGTTTTCCAGATGCTACAAATCTTTGAGACGCTCCAATTACATAAAAACAATAATACGTAGTTAACAGGATAAATATTTTAGTCTTCAAGCAGAGCAGATATTTGATCCTACATTTTTTTCTTTAAATGTAGTACCATTCTTTACTGCAGTCTCTTGGTGCAAATGCGAGTTGTCATGCCGCACCTCACAAATTAAGTGGTGAAAGCAAAGCTATGTGGAGTGACCCTCGATTAATACTGTAAATGGCTTAATTTTTGTGAGGATCCCATTTTTGCAAATGTTGCCAGGATCAAAATCACGAAAATTCGGTGATGCAAATAGTCACCCCATGGATACCATTACATTGCATATCACTCCTAATCGCAAAATTTTGTGCCTGCGAGCGAAATATTCCTGAAACCAGCACTTCCCAAAAATCAACCCCGTGAAAATAAAGGTCTTTGCAGTATTCCATGCAAAATGCCAATGTTGCCAAGAAGAAAAAAGAGCTGCCTCCAGCAAAAGATTTCTAGTCTCGACAGCACATGCCTCTCAAGCGCAGCAAAAGCGTGGTGGAACACAACGAGCATGTGAAGGAGGTGGAGCTACCACTGCACTCCTTACATATCAAATACTGTAGTAAAACAGGAGGCTACTTGCCTTACACTTGCACGGCTCAACGACACTGTTGTGGTTGCTCTTGATAAAAATAAAGCAGCCTACGTCGCTAAATCTAATTTTAGTCACGTCCACTAATAATGCTCTGTTTACAATATGGAAGTTTATTGATTAAATAAGCAGTACTTACATGAGCCTGTTATCAGCCTGTGCCCAATTGACTAACCAATAATTGCACACCCTATGCTAAAACCGAAAAGCATACCTGGAGGGCTTGATGAGGGCGGGCACACAGAGCTGCTTGCAGTTGGATGATCACTACTCTCCTTTGACGCAGCGTCACTGAAATGTGAAACAATGAACACTAAACATTAACCAAATCTACTAGAAACTCCCAATGTCTCAGGACCTCTTTACTCCCTTGATCACGGGTAGTATTTGGTTTGGGCAAGGTCAGCACAGAACTGAAAAAGTTAATCAAATCCAAGCCTTACACTGCCAACAACAGATTCCTTATAGATTCAGGGACCTGGAAAATTCTCCCAATGAAGAACAGCTATTTCTCATGAAATATGGGCACGTCATAAACAGCTTCAACTTGTGGGACTGAACTCTACCTTCGATTATGTTCTATTATACATTTTCTATATTTGCAGTGCGAAGCTTGCCAGGGGCGCTGTTGTTTTTCTCACTATGGTTAATGTATGTGCCACAAATGCAGTTTATGTGTTCATTGTCATAGTGCATAGAGGCCAGACATTGCACGTGCTTGCACAAATAAAAGTTAAAGTATCCTCATTATTCGTGGTGATTCCTAAACGTCTCTCCTTGAATACAAAATAGGTAATGTTCTCTGACCTTTCATGTCCAAAAGGTGGTGGTGGTGGGGCTCCCTGGAGTCCTTTTTCAACATCTGACTCATCCGATGAGGATGCTGCGCTTACCACGACCCTTCTGCGCTTACCACGACCCTTCTCTGAAAATTTGTTCAATATCACTGCAATTACTCAACTCTGCTTTCCCAACCAGAAAGCCCTTTAGAGTTGGGACTTGTTATTTCGCGAGATTTTTTTTTATTGTTACTTGTCTCTGGTTACGATGCAAGCTCACCAGCTCGCCTGTGCTTTTACCCTTGTTTCCTATCCATGATGCTTCCCGCCTTAAAGTAGCTTGTTCTGTTACCTTACAGGTTTCCGAACACATGCTTAAAATATGTAATGCACTGAAATCAGTTTCTTAACAACAGGTTGCTTAACCAGCTGTAGTATAATCTCAGGAATGATAAGTATCTAAACAGTTAACCTAAAGGCCCGTTCACACCCTTGCGACCTCTTAAACCTGGGTTCCTTAAAACTTCTTAAACCAAAGAACACACTGGCGCCATCTATTGGGAAGCAGTGCAAACTCGGCGGTCCGGCATATTTTTTTATTTCTCGCGCATTATCCTTTCTTTATTGGCTCGAAAAACTTTTGTCAATGTTATAAACGAGCCTTTCTATGGGTATTACGCACATTTGACCCCAAAAATCCCGCAAAACCTTCGCTCTTGTGAAATGCAGTTCCAGGGTCACCGCATAGATGGCGCCACAATGCCAGTGAGTTCCCTCATTCTAAAAACATTTAAGAAGTTTTAAGAGATCTCGTCTCTCTCAGTCGTACTCGGTCGCAAGAGTGTGAACGGGCCTTAAGATCATACCCTTAAACCCGCTGTACTGACCGGGAAATTGGGCATAAAACGATTAGTGTAATTAATGGGGAGAAAATGCGTTATCATGCAAACTTCGTTTGAGACACTTAGCAGCTGTATCAGCAGCCAAACGAGCCTTTATGCCTCCGGTGTCTGAGCTTGCCGCCACCATCTAGTCGTCTCATACACATGCGCACCGCCGCTCTCCCAGGTGACCTACTTTCACGCTGCTCCACCTGTACTCTCCCTCTCTACACCACTGCCTCCTTGCCACTACCTACCCTCCTCCTCACCATCACTCCAAACGACAGACATACGCCGGCGC